CAATGATGTTATTTTGAAACACACTTAACGATGGAGATTATATCCCAAAGAAACTTTTTGAAGAAGGCATAAAAATAAACACATGAATCTATGAATCTTCTTAACGAATCCAACCATTCTCTTCGAGATAAGTTTTGGTCTAAATGAAATTGGGAGTGTTTTCTAACTATAGACATTTGATGCCATAATCATAGCTTTGAAGCTCAAGCTTTTAAAATCCATTGAATAACCATTTAGTTGAGGCTCAAGCTTCAAGACCTTAGGTTGGGTGATGAGGTGGATGCAATTATGTTAACACCTACAATATAAACATCCAATGAAACATATATACATACTTTTGAGGTTAGCTAAGAATATGATACACATATACAAGATACACAATTCAAGGTGATTGGCGATCCCTTAAGGTCAAACTTATAGATAGGAGAAGGTAGAAGACAGAATCAATCCCAATGTGTGACCTTGGTGCATTGTGATGATATTGAAAGATGTAGGATCTTAGGGGCAAAAATTGGGGTATAACAACTAAGATTGCCAAAATTGAAATACATAAATAGTAATAGCAACAAGATGCAGCTTATACCTCAAGAGCATCATGCGTACACTTGTCAGAAACCTTCTCCTCATTCATCCTCTCTTGCTCCTCTTGCTTCTTCTGGATACTCTCCCACACATTATGCAACAACTTCTCCCTCTCCTCCTCCAAGAACTTCTCCTGCACTGTCTGCAACAACCTCTCCCTCTCCTCCTCCAAGAACTTCTCCCGCACCGTCTGCAACCAGATCTCCCTCTCCTCCTATAAGAACCTGTTATGCTCCTCTTTCCACCTGTCCTTGGCTTTCCCGAACTCAACAAGAACAATCTCTTTAACCTGTCTCTTACTAATTTTCTCTCTAAATGACGTTGTACATCCAAAATGTACCCTGAAGCGAATTCCTATACCAAGACCATAAACACGCCAAGGATGCTCCTCAATTCCAATTGTTTCTACCAATATGTCATGACGACCTTGTGAAGTGAAGAGGCCAACCTTGTTTGTTCAACAAGATCATCCTGCAAAACATAAAATTTCATCTTTACCAAATTGATTTAACTAAAATAAATATTGTTGAAAAAATTATCTACTTACAATCCTTTGTGCCACTTCGTGTGTAGCATCTGATGTATAATCATTGTCTTTTCTTTGGGGCGCCCTCTTCCATTTCTCTTGGCGTGATGGTGAGGATGGACTGCGATCAAGATTTATAGAATCTCTCAGCTCTTCATCCCTTTTTTATTTTCGTCCATCAAAAATTTTTCAAGTCTTTTATATCCTCCCAGAGACAGCCTATGTGGATAGATATTTCTACCTCAATTTTTCTTTCCTTTTTGGGTCTTTGCCAAGAAGTCGGGAGTGGTGTGAGACTCTATAAATTTCTCCCAAGTAGCTTGATCAATAAATGAATACTCGAAGTTCTTTATCTTCTCCATGTTTAATATTATCATGGGTGAGTTGTGTCTTAAACCCCCTTTTGACCATGGTTGTCAGATTTTTGTCTGCTGCCATGTTGTCTTGTCGAACTTGATATATGACTTCATCAGCATTTTGATTTCTATTTACCATCATAACCCTAGGTGCTGGTTCTCTTGTAATTTGTGGTTCCTACCTAAAAGGTTTGGCTCTAGGTATTTCGACATTCACAACTCTAGGTACTTCGACTACCCTTCCCTAATTTACCATATTCGCATGGGGTACATTTCTTGATTATGTTGAACTTGGTTAAATGTTGGGTCTTCTTCAAATACTATGCCTTGGTTTTCCCTAACCCACTCCCTCTGAGGACGTGGTGAGGGTTAAGGCACACCAAAGAATTCAGCGATGCATGTCATTTTCACAGCCATTTGTTGGTTCACTTAAGTGGTGTTTTAAATCAAAGGGTTAAAGATTGAACCCATTATTTGTGCAAGCATTTGAACCATTTCATGGTTACTTTCGTCCATTTGCTGTCTAATTATTATTGCAGAGTGATTTTTTAAATTTGGAATTTGGGAAGAAACTCCTTCTACTTGTGGTTGATCATTTCGACCCCTGTTATTAATAGCATATCCAAAACCTTGTAATGGTGTGGTAACGTTCATCACAAAATCTGAGTATGTTGAAGTAAAATTATGCAAACCCATCATAAACGAAGATGGCATGCCATAAGGCTGCTCACAACCATTTAGAGACATGGAAAAACTAGGAGGCCCTTGAGGCCTATGGAAAGTATTTCTCCCTAGAGGGGGGTCCCTTGTGGTCCTATATAAGTCAAAATAGGGCCAGTGTAAGCGTTCAGCTGCATTGACGTCGAACTTGTTAAAGATGGTATAACCTTTGAAAAATGCGCATAAACCGTAGTTCCCCCTACCGAAGTGACTGAGGGTGGTACTTCATCATTGTTAGGAGGATTATGATTATCTGGCTGACTTTGGTTTCCCATTTTCCTAACGTACTTTTTCTTAGGTATTTCCTTGTTGTTTGTGGCTAATTTACCACTTCTAAGTCTCATACAACGCAAAAAAAATACAAGAGGATGGTGAAGATTTTCAAAAACTTTTTACCAGAACAAAATATTTGTTAATTGAACACAGGTCGCACTGGGCGTGCCTATTTGTTTACTGTGAAAATTGGTAAACAAGCGCTAGTCTTATAAAACAATAAAAATCTTTAGTTGTTCACAAGAATGACTAGATTGATCCTAAGACATGTGTTCTTATTCAAATTTTTATTCTTAAAAACAAAGAATACTTTAGACAACATTCATAGTCTTTTTAAATAATATTGATTTTGATTCTAATGACTCTTCAAAATAAACTTACAAAAATATTTGTAAAGGCAATGCAATAAAGGTAAATCAAATATAAATTGCTAAAGTAAATTTCTGGAAAAGGTAAATTTTATTAAACTAAAAGATGGTGTTTACACGTACATTTCTCAGATGACTTTTTTCTCAACATGCAGATACTTTGAGTTTATGTAAGATTGTGTACAAACGAATGAACACGCGAATCTTATTTCTAAAACTCCTATTTATACTATTTCGACCTTAAAGACCTATGCCTAAATTCCACGTTTGGCCTTTGTATCCACTTTCGAAATATCAAGCCTCCACGTGTCTTTTTGGACAAGATCAAATGTTTGAATTCGAATTCTCTCCTCATTCGAAACGTCAAATCTTCAACATGCCATAACGAACTGATTTTCGAAAATTAAATCTCCAAACATTTATTCCATCGAATTATTTCAACAAGTTTGGACCATCCATAATCTTGATCACTCGAACCTTATAAAGAAAATATCTTTATTTTTCTAATTTAACTACCGTCAAAATTCCAGCTAACACATGTTCACCAGAAGTTGTGTCGGTTTTTGCACAAACTCTAACCGGGTAGCGAATACCATTTTTATTGACTTTTTTTACATTTGTATACATCGTAGCACCTCTAGTTTTTCTTTTACATTTTGTGACAGAGTTTGGCGCGGATGTTATATGTGACGTGCTTGTCAAATCGACCATGACTATCAAGATGAATTAAACAGTAACGTTTCAGTCAAAACAAACGAAGAAACCCTAAACAAAATGATCAATAGACAAACAAACGAAGAAACCCTAAGAAAAATGATGAGTGAAAAACTAACTTTGATGACTATCAAGATGAATCAAACTAACGCTTCAGTGAAGAACAAACTTGTTGCTATGACAAATATCTATTGGAAGAGTTTTTATGAATATCAGCTTGAAAATCGTATAGGTTTTTTGTAAAATGAGAGTGACGAACTGACGTTTGAGTGTTGATAGGTAAATAAAAAAGTTAGAAACTAGATAGAAGTCTGGAGTATTTTATGCAAAATATGTGTCATGTCGATTTTACATAAACTGGTGTGATTGTATTAATTAAAAATCTAAAATATATATAAAAAAAAACCTCATAGTGCTATATTCTGGAAATTCATTTAAAAAATATATCACATCGATTTTTGTAGAAAATCTACAAAAATCGAGGGGTTAAAATATATCAAATAAAGTATTAAAATAAGATTTTGAAATTAGTATTATGAAATTGTTAATGCAAAATATATTACCTCTCAGTTGGACCTTGTAGGCGAGATAAATACTAATAGAACAAATTAAAAAAAATAAAAATTAGAAAGACGCAAAGTGAGAAATACTAATTAAACAATTAAAAAAAAACATAAAATACAACAATTGGGTATCGAAACGAGTTCGCTTATTGCTACTTTCCCTCGGTTTTATTAAATGTCGGAGGTCTAATATTTTTTATTAAAAAAATAAAACAAAACATGGTGCTCTTAAGATCTATACACTCGTTTTTTCATTGTTCGAGGTGTAAGCTTCGTTATGAAGAGTGTTATTTGTTGGCATATGTTCTTAATGCTTCTGTATTGTTGAGTTGCGCGAGACATCGCTGATGAGACAATATGATTATTCTCTAAACTCTGCGTTAGACATAACCTAGGTTGTGGGTGATAGATACGTGATGATATTGACGAGTGTTGTAAGATGCATACAATTGATCAGTAGGTTTAAGTATTTGACGGGTAGATGAAATTCAATCCAACGAGTTCCCTCCTCTCTAAAAAATGTATTTATTTTCTTTTTCATAGTTTTACTTTCCGCACTTTACACTTTTAAACTATTAAAAACCAAGTTCAGAGACGTGGAGATTATTGAACGGCATTTTTTCCTTCGCATTAATCTTTATGGAGACAATAAAACAAAAATACTTACTTTTACTTGTTGTTTTACTGCAACACTTAGCAACTTTTTTTTAAAACTAATGACACCATAAATACGCCCGCTTTAACCTCCTTTAAAGGAATGCAAATCACATTCGTTCAATTACTTTATACAACACTCATTACTTAAACCAGTTGCTACAATGTAGAGGAAAAATCTGAGTAAATATTCTTAATTTTTACCCAAACATAAAAGAATGGTAATTGTTCTTAGAAAAATTGATCAACCACTAACATTGGGAGTAGTAGATTCACTTTCCCATTTCTCAGTCAATGACTTTGGTGAAGTTGATCCCTCTTGCTTCTTATTGATTGAAGTTCCAACTCTTGGTGAATTTACTTCTCCAGACTGCGAGGAGCCAGCATAATCATGTACTTTCTCAAGATGATCAAACTCAAAATTCCCACCATCAATTTTCTTGAGATCTTGCAAAACTTGATCCATGGAAGGTCTTAATTCCATGTCTCCAAGCACACACTGAAAAGCCAATTCTGCCACTGAAGTAATCATCCTTTTAACTTCACTGTCTGATTCAAAACCAAGTAATGGGTCAACCAGCTCCCCAATTGCACCTTTTCTTATTTTCTTAGCTGCTAGACTTGCCAAGTTAATTTCCTCTCCTTCCCTGAAGGAATCAATTGCTGTCATAGATGATATTAGCTCAATGAGCACAACGCCAAAACTATAGACATCACTCTTCATCGAGAGTTTGTAGAGTTGGAGGTATTCGGGGTCAAGGTAACCTGGACTTCCTTGTGGACCTGTGGAAACATGGCTGACATTGTTTGGAAACAACCTCGATAGTCCAAAATCGGCCACCTTAACAGAAAAGTTAGTGTCAAGTAGAATGTTGTTGGTTTTGACATCACGATGAATGATATCGGAAGCATGTAGATAAGCCAATGCAGAAGCAGTTTCTATTGCAATTTGCATTCGAATAGGCCATGTCAACAAACCGGCCCTAGCTAAATTACCATGAAGATGGCTAGCGACAGTTCCATTTGGAATGTATTCATATACAAGGAGTAGCTCACGGCTGTAACGTGAAGTGCAGCCATAGAGGGACACTAGATTCCTATGGTGCAGGCGAGCGAGTACTTCGACTTCATTCACAAACTGTTCTACTCTTCTGTAATTATGCTCAAATAAGTGTTTGACAGCAACTTCCCTCCCATCTTTGATTTTCCCTGGTTTTCAAATATCAATGCTGAAGTAAATCAGAAACATTGAATTTTGAATTACTGTATTACTAATTAATCGCTTATCTTATAAGTGCTTATCACGTAAGATCAAATAAAGTCAAACTATTTTTATATATACTATAAGCCATTTTCATGTAAGTGCATACCATAGTAAACAGCGCCAAAACCTCCATCTCCTAGCATTCTACTGCGGTCAAAATTGTTTGTTGCTTGTCGAAGCTCTTCATACGAGAAGACAGATACCCCGAAGAAGAGCTTGTTGGACTCCATTTCACGATTTGCATGGAAGTCAGCAGAAATGTTGTTGCAAGCTTGGTGTTGGATGTGAGCAAGGCCATATTTCCGTTTGAAGTGCCATAACGTGTGGAACAATCCAACTATGATGATGATGCATAGTCCAACACTAACTCCTATAACATTTCATTGTAATGACTTTTAGTTTCACAGTTGACACACAAATCAGTAATGTTTGGAAGCACAAACTAGTTATATTGAGCATTAAAATATGCACATCACCTAAAACCAATCGTAGCTTCCAATTTGAACTTCTACCCTTCCTGCATAATAATTCAAGTAGATAGTTAGTAAATTTCTTATGATCCAAGAAATTGTCTTAACAATTTCTAGAAGTTTTGATAATGCATTACCCTGGGCAATAAACTTCTCCATTGTTGTGAGCACGACAATGACGTTTTGTATTATGGTAACACCGTTCACACTCTTCAGAAGGTTGAAACTGATAGGTAATATCACGAGCTAAGAACGGATATGGGTTACCAGAAAGTGCAAAGCCTAGTTCAACGACAGGAAGATGACGCAACGAGCACGTTGTGAAAGAGCGATTAGACTCACCATCGGATATTGAATCACCGAAATAAAAATCATAGTTCGGACAAGAACTATTTTTGAAGAAATTGTTTGGAGGGTTGGTGACTAGTTTTTTGGTACTGTTGCATTTGAAAGCAGTTATATTGTCTTTCAAATAAAAAGTTCCGAAATGAGAGGGAGGAGGGAGGCTAATATTAACATCGTTGTAGACTTCACAAGCACTTTTATTCAAAAGGTTGGTGAACTCATGGTCAATAATGGAAATAGGGTTGCCCTTGGACCAGGTATTATCAATGTTTGTAACTTGAAAGTGTTTTCCTCCTTTGGTTAAATGGATCGTCTTCATTGCATTTTTGTTAGGATCATCGCAACCTTGAATTGCCAATGCACCACAGTTTGGGAATCCAACCTTGGTAAAAGGGTAGCTAATAAACCCAAGATTTCCACAATCAAATGACTTTGGACAATCATCACTGTGTCCATTTCCTATGATAGTTAAGACAAGTAACAGTAGCAGAGTTAAATGAGAGAACATAAGGAACCTACGATTGTGTTTCATAATTTGTTACACACTTGTTAATTTGCAATACATAAATATATCTTTTGAAGCCAAATGACACGGCAATTGACTAGGAAATTACCACACAAGTCTTATGAATCTATGTCAATCACCTACGCCGATGACTTTGCCGTTATAATAGACCACAATTTATTTCCAATCCACTTATATTGCTAGATTTCTTAGAAGAGTAAAACACGCTTTCTTCTTCCCGTTTGACATTTCTAAAGACCACATTCTCAACAAAATGATGTCTTTACTTCAAAATCAAAGCACTGGCCGACAAATTTTTTGTCTAAAGTTTAAATTATTTTATTCAAAATTAATACAATAGACTCTAAAGTCACATATATGAATGATTGATTAAGACTTTAGAGACAAGTTAATTCAAGACTAAGCAACCAAACTCGCTTAGCGCGATATTACATGAACTGTGCGAGGTATGATGGTTTAAGATTTAACGGCTAAGTTAGTTCATGGGCAAGGAAGGGTTTGCTCGTTAAGCGAGTTTGGAGGCGTGTTAAGTGAGGATATGCGACAAAGATAACTTGTAGGATGAGCTGACAAGATTTTGGAGAGAAAAAAAGTAGGCGCGTTAAACGAGCTTCAAGCCTCTCGTAGCAAGAAAGACAGATCAACACCCTATAAATAAAGGATCAATCAGTTAGTTTGAGAAAACTTGTGGTGGAAATTTGGTAGGGATTAGGAGAAACACATTGTATACCAAAAACAAAACAAGAGAGGGAATGGGAGGAAGATTGAGGGTGGAAGCGTTGTTCGAGGAATCAACAAGAGATGCATTCCAACTTCTTTCTTCTAGGTCTTATTTGTAAAGATTCAATGAGTAAGCATAGTTAATTTATCTTTTATTAGAGTTAGATGTAGTTGTCCTACTGCTCATGTATTGATTATGATCATAGTGTTATGTTGGATTATATTTGGGAGACCTAAAACAGGACTCCCTCGCCTCACAACCGTGTCGCCCAGACGGAATCTAAGAAACTCGCCTGAAGGCCTTCACGGCGTGGGGGGTCAAGGAGGAGGGAGTCTCCACTAACTCTTAGGAAATAGGCGGTCAACAACTTCTCCTACTAATGGGGAGCGGATAACACGAGAAAATAGGTCCAAATCCTAGGTCTATAAGGTCTTTCTAAATACCTCTCTCCAAGAGGAGAGAGAGAGAGAGAGAGAGAGAGAGAGAGAGAGAGAGAGAGAGAGAGAGAGAGAGAGAGAGAGAGAGAGAGAGAGAGAGAGAGAGAGAGAGAGAGAGAGAGAGAGAGAGAGAGAGAGAGAGAGACTCTAAATCACACATATTCTCTACAACCTAAAGAACACCACGCTCATTATAGTCTCAGCATATGACTGACCTAACCGCCCTCCTGCAACCAACCATCTCTGGCCATCAACAGGGTCTCTCACCTCACGTGAACTAGTCCCTTAAACTACCTCAAAATACACTACTACAAAATACATCTAATGTAACATATTATTACCATATATATTAAACCAACTGAAGTAATATCTCTTATTTAGGCGCCTGATTTTTTATTTCTTTTACTAAAAGACTTTTCATTATGGTCTATGTTAAAAACGGTAATGGTACGATAAGGCTTACATGCTTCGATTCTCAACACCAACATTTTTCCTTTTTTTATTTATAATATGGACGTGTCACTTATAATATTAATATTTAATTAAAAATTAAATACCTTTCACCGCCATCTAAAAAATAAACCATTGTAAAAAGTACATACAGTTATCATGGTCGTTCTATGTAACCGTAGTTAAAAGTTTAACATATATTTAAGCGAAAGTTCGCTCTTTTTGGACAGAACGATTGTCTCTCTCAAAACACAATGCTAACACTCTCTCACACTTTTTCATTACACCGTGAACGATATATACCACTTCTTTACAAAACTCCAACATATATTCTCCATCTCTTATGAATCAAAGAAAGGTGTTACACAAAACTCATTTCTCTCCCTTCATCTTCACATTTCAGGTACGTTAGAACTTTCCATATTTTATGTTGTCGTTGATTTTTCTCTTGTTGTTATATGTTGTATGTTGTTTAAAGTTTTTCGTTGTAGATAAAAGTTGTATGTTTTCTATGATTTAGTTTTTGTTGATATATGTTGTATGTTGTTTAAGGTATGTTGTTGTTGTTTATAAAAGTTGTATGTTATTGATGATTTGGTTTTGTTGATATATGTTGTATGTTGTTTAAGGTATGTGTCATACTCCGAAATTTACCCTCCCATTCAATTTTATTTGGCTTATGGATTTTAATTCATCTGCATACATTTTAATTTTAGTTAAGATCATGCATATCATTCATCTGCATCACATGCCAATACTAGGTCAAAGGTTCAAGGGCATTGGATTTAACTAGTTAACCTTGATTTCTCAATGTATGGATCTCTTGCTTCATGATCAGATGATTTTTTTGGTTGAAGCCTTATTATGACCAATGTTCTCAACTTGGAGAATAAAGTGTTCCTTTAAGTTGTCGATGTAATAAGTTATCCTGAATCATTTTTTAATTACATTAAAATTGTCATTTGGAGAAAAGGAAAAGAACTTTGAATTGGGAAAAGATGAAGAATTACATTGTATGACACAAGGTTGTGAGTATATTTTTCCATTAGAGATATTTTGTATGATGTCAAAATTATGATACTTTAGTGTTTTTGTATGTTGGATGGTATTTTGATTCTTGGTGTGCATCTGAATATTAGGAAGTTTAAAAGCATTTTTGAAAAGGTTTCACACATTAAAAATCAAATTTCATGTGATAATCAGGTTTAGAGTGGACACATACGACCTATGAGCCGACACATGTTATTGCATTTTAAAGCCTGTAGGCTCTGTAATACATGTGTCGACACATGGTAGCTTTCAGGTCGACACATAGAAGTGTGAGTCGACGCATGCAACATATGAGTTGACACACGCTGATGAGTTTTAAAGCCTGTAGCGCCTGTTTTGATGAGTCGAAACATGACATATATAGGTCGACACATGCATTGTATGTGCCGATACATGACTTACATAGGTCGACACATACGATCAAGTTTTCCAAATTTTGTGATTTTTTAAAACTTTATGCACTCTATTTTGCCTCCAACTTGCACACATATATATACCCCGTGCATGCATCTTTTCAAACTTGATGAAACCATAAACATACAAAAAAATTTCTCTTCATCTTCAATATCTCATCTATCCATACACATAACATTTACACATAACCATTCTTGTTGGGTGCCATCTAGATTCAAAGTTGATAACTTCCAATTTAGGTTGTTGAATTGTAAATTGGGTTGAGATTCTTTGGGGGTTTCATTAGGAAAAACCAGTTAGAGTTTGTCCTCTAAGATTAAGGTGTTGATTTGTGGTTTTGCACAAGATTTTGCAATTCGGATTCAGCCGAGTGAAAACTTCAAAGAATAGTGGGTTCGTTCGAAGGAGGTAATTGGATGATCGATTGAAAATCTTGGGTGACAAGAAATCATAATTTAGCTTTAGCCGAGTGAAAGCTTTGAAGAAAGGCGGTTCGGTCAAAGGAGTAATGGTAACCGGAGGATCAAATTGGTATTGTTGGATGACTTGATCGAGCTCAAGATCAAGGGAAGAGAAAGAGTTAGAATCAATATCAAACATTGGGTTTAGAGGGTTGTATTGCTACTTTTCTCTTGTAAACAATTTTTGCAAAGTAAGATTGATATCTCAATTCCATTTGGAATTGGGGGAAGGCGTAGCCATAGCGAGGACGATTGGTAAACTACCTAAACAAATCCTCGTGTCCTCTCTCTTTGTCTCTCTCAATTACTTTCAATTACAAATTATTAAATTCATTGATTGTGCAACCGATACGTATAGAAAAATAATTTATTTATCAAACTTGAAATTGTTTTGTTGATTATATTACAATACATAAGATTGTAATTGGTTTTTCATATCAACAAAACCAAAAGGAAAATCTAAAAAATCGAGTGCACACTAAGTGTTCGATAATTTGCTTAGCATTGTTTTTTGTTATAAATTTCATTGGAAATAGATTGCCTTTGTGATCATATTCAAACGAGCGATTGTGAAAATATATTGGCAAAGTGGCTTATTACTTTCATTGTATCTCATATTGGTTTTACACATATCCGGATTTTCCGATAACGATTCAAATTAGACGATATTTTTTATCCATGATTGCTTTCCGCTGTCCATAGTTAACACATTTGAAAAATAGTTTTTTAAAGAAATTTTAACGTGGGATCTATTCATCCCCTCTAGATAATTTGGCTTTGTCTAACAAGTGGCATCACGAGCTCCGGTTCATTCTGTGCTTCAAAAATGCTTATTAGATTATGACTTCCGAACCTAAAGGAGCATACAATAGAGCGATTATTTTTACCGGTGAAAATTATGGTTGTTGGAAAGCTTGTATGTGTATCTATATCAACTCAGTTGATAAGGGAGTATGGAACACCATCATCAATGGTCCTAATTAAATTATGATGACCAATACTAAAGGTGTTGTCATACCTAAACCAGAAGCACAATGGGATGAAAATGATAAGAAATTATCGTGTTTGTCATTATGAGACCTCCAAAGCTATGTGAGACTCATTACAAGTTGCCCATGAAGGAACTAATGAAGCCAAACAAGCTAGAGTCAATATATTGAGTCAAGAGTTTGAACTATTTCAAATGAAGCATGATAAAACCATTACCGACATGCAAAAGAGATCCACTCATCTCATAAATCGTTTGAATGCACATGGGAAACCGATTTCTAATTAAATGGATACTAATGAATTTTTGAGATGTCTTAACAGGGAATGACAACCTAAGATCACCACAGTCAAAGAAGAAAATGATCTTACAATATTAGACCTCAAAACTTTATTTGGCAAAATTGAAGAACATGAGCAAGAACTCACTTGCTTGAAAAAACATGAGAAAAAGCATGATAATAAGCTAAAGAAGGAGAAAGGCAA